GCCGGCGGTTTAAAATTTTGGTTCACCCCCTTCGGGGCCCGGAGCAAAAAAGGGGGGGGGGGGTTTGTAGGGGGGGTTCCGGGGAGGAGGTGGAGTATTTTTTTTCCCGAAAATTTGTTTCCTTGCAAACACGGTTTTACTTAAAAATTTGGGACGGGTTGTGGCCAAGATGTGTTATTTTGGGCCTTGGGGGCTTTTCACCCGGGGGGGGCCCGGGGAAAAAATTTTTTTAAAACCCCCTCCCCCCTTCCCAGGAAGGAAAAAGGGGGCCACCCTTGGGGGGGGGGGGGGGGGGTAGTCGAGCGGAGATGAAAGAACAAACTTCTTTGTTCTTGTTGTGTGTGTTGAGGGTGATTGCTCCGCCTTCTTTCGAAGGGCGCGAGGGGAGGCCCCGAATTTCTTCCCCTGTGGGTGTACGCATTCGTCTGTCCGGGAAGCCTGGGCGGTATTGCGAGCTGCTGTGCTTGTGTGCCCAACTCGAAATAATGCCCGTAAGGTCGCTCGCGCGGGCCACGTGGTCCGGTTTATGTATGTCCCTTTGTGGAAAGTTTTGGGGTTGTGTCGGGCCGGGGCCAGGGGGGGGCAAGTTTTCGTGGTTTCCCATACCTGCCTATGGTTTTTAACTGTATCTGCCTTGCTGGTCGGTTATTTCCGAGGTATTGTGAACCCGGGGGTTTTGTTGCTGTATTGGCTACCGCGTACGGATTGATGTGGAGTCACGACCTGTTTCCTTTTCCTTAAGTAATGCTGACGGCCTATATGTATCTAGCGTACGTGTAGCGTTCAATGGATCGATTTTTTGTGTCTCGTGTGTTGTGTTGCTCCTTGCCACCCCCCTTGTCTCCACCCCTTACTTTTCAACACCAACACATCCGCCACTCTCATACCCTACAAAGGGCTGTACCACGCCCGGACGCATCTCCATCCGTGTCTCCCCCCCCCCTTGTGTAGACGTGTCTATTTTTTTTCTCCTTAGTTTTTTTCTCTCTGGTGCTCTGGGCGCCAACGACGCATGGATGGATGTTTGGTCGAAGCTTCTACTTTTCCTGTTTGCTGCTCGCGTGTGGCAATTAAATTTACTTTGCTCCCCGTGGAAGTCCTCTACTCGTAGGTAAAGGAGCTTCAAGTGAAGGGTGTTTGCCACCGAAAACAGAAGCCAGGTAACTTCTACGTAGATATTAGGGCTCTCATCACGTGCTTTTTTTTACTAACAACAGAAAGGGATTAATTTGCACCGAAGGGGGGGCCGTCGTGGGTTTCACAATGCAAAGGTACGCCTTCTCCCCTCCCCCCCCCGGTCCTCCGCACGGACGATTCAATCAAAAATGGCGTCCTCTTTCTGTTGTTAAGATACCGAGAGACGGCGAGGGGGAGGGCGAGGCAATGGTGATTTACCGGCGCTGACGTAAATTTGTCTTGGCGCACGCGCCTCGGGCTTGTATAAGGCTCAAGACTTACGGCTTCAAAACAGCACGACCCGCGTTCGGAGTGGGGCTGAGACAACGGCTAAGAAAAATGCACTCTTTCCGTAATACCACGCCTGTGTCGAGACCACAAACACATATGGTACAGACTCCAGGGACTTTTTTGTGTATCGGTCCAGCATAATAGTCTCGATTGTGATGATTCTCGGTTCGTAATTAAGTTTCAAACCAGAAGCATCTGCCCAACGCTTGCAGCATGTGCCTTCACAATGAAGGCTGCAACTGCGTGCTTTACTCGATGCACTTGAGAGCTGTGTGCCAAGCTTGGCAGAAGACTTGAGGGAGATTTCCTTCGTTAACTCCTACTGTTGACGCGCCACACCCCGCCAAGTCTTTCGGTCCCGGCCAACCTACTCACGTAATAGGTCTAAACCCTGACTCCCGAGATTCGTTCCCCTATACCCAAGCCCCAGCTGAGGGTGGATGTTCCTCGAGCGAGGGCTGGCTCTTGCTTGTATCTACCTAAAAAAAAAAAAAACTATCGCTTGTCTGTCTTGGGAAGGGAAAAAAATCGCGTTGTCTGCCTTGGGGATGAGTAACCGTCAGACCTCCTTTGAGAGACTCCCACCAATCATCAACTTACTGCTGAATGCATAGATTATTACATATTGTGGAGGAGTATCTGCTAGCGCACGACCTAGCGGAAGGAGTAACCCACACTTTTGTTTTTGCTCTGGGATCCATGTATCATCTACGGACGACTACTGCAACCAACCGAACAACGAAAGGAAGAGGGTTAATATAATACCTTCAAAAACGCGGTATATAGGAGTGTGTGTGTGACATCGTATGCTCCCTCTCTGCTGCCCGACCACCCTGTCCAAAATGCGCCGGTGCTCGAGCGTCTCTCCCCCCTGGCTACACCAATGCTGCAGGCATCTCACGCAAGCGACAATGCATACCCTCAAGAACAAAGGCTGCACGCCCACGCACGCGAATTCAAACGAAACGAGAGATAGAGGCGTTCGCACCCCCTAGGCCAACACAACAAAAATGGAAACAAAATATATAAATAAAAAAAAACAGCGACGACGTCCATCCTTCTTCGCACGTCACTCGAGGCAGGAGGCTCGTGCTCGGCGGTCTGCGGACACAAAGCGGTGGCGGCTCTCTCACAATTTTTCTTTCTTGTCGGTCTTTTCTCTTGGTCACGAATACCAACCAACGTACACACACAAAACAACCTTCACGAATGTTTTTAACTTACTTTTCTTCATACGACGACACACGAGAGCCCGCACAAAACAGCAACACCCACCCCCGGCTGCAACCAACAACAGCAGCAAGCAGCCCCTCACGACAACACATAAATTCGTACGATGATGATGATGGTAAGCGTGGCATGAAAAACACAGCACGAGATCGTCGTGGCGCACAGAAGACAATGTTACCCAAGAAACAACGACATCGCCCTCTACATGTGCCTTCGCCCGCCAGCACCCTAGCCAACACTAGGGCAACACGCCAAAAAAACCTCGCTATGCAGTTCTCGAACCAGACATACAGACAAAATCCCTGTGCCCCCCCCCCCCCTCCGTCCCGCCCTTGCTACATAAGGCGCCCCTAAAAATTTCCAAAACGGGTTGGCTGGTA